CTCTCTCCTTAACCTGAGACACACACCAAGCACAACCCCATGATGCTCAGATTCAAAGGAAAACCTTCTTTCCTTACAAACCATTTTCAATTTGGGTCATACCACCTTTTTTTTTTTCTTATCTTTTTTTTAAATACAAAGACCCAGAGGCCAAAAGTACTTCCTTTTGAGGTTGGTTCAGCATATTAATGCATTTACAGGAAGTCACAAAAGATATGTAAAATGGGATTATTTAAAAAGATAATAATAACAGCACACAGCTTCTGCACTGGTTTCCAAAGTGCTCTGCTGGCCCTAAGGCAGCCTCTGGGCCCTGGGCTGGCACTGCATGAGCTAAACACACAAAGAATCCACAAACCCAAGAAAAATTAAGTGCTAGAACACAATTTTGCCAAAACCACCTCAATTACTGGGTTCTTCCTACAAGTCACCTCTGCTCCATCCCTCATTTAAGCAGGAAAAGGTCTGTCACAGCTCTTGGGTAGTCTCCTCATGCCAAGGATCAGCTCCTGTCTCAAAATGGGCAACAGAACCTTGAGACCTGCCTGGCAGGGTGTGATGGGATGGGAGGAATAACAAACCTGAAAGGACAGAGCCCAATGTCCCTCCCTGCTCTGGCTCAGGTCAGGGGAGCTCAGTTCCTGCCGCTCCAAAACTGAATAAAACCACCAGCCCAGGAAGGCCTGGAACAGCCCTGCAACTCAATGGCTCACAAACTGTCTGGTCTGAAATCAATCCAAGTCCTTCATAAAGAAAATGAACCTAAAAAGCCCCAGGAAGCCAGCCCAGGAGGAAGACACGAGAAGGAACCAAACACTCAGGGGCTCCATTCAGCTGCAGGCTGGCCAGCTTCCAGCAAGGTGTCCTCTCCCTTCCAGCTCTGGAAAGGTTTGGATATTCCATCACTCAGAGGCTTCCATCCCACAGCTTCCTGCAGCTCAGATGACATTCCTGATGACATTTCCAGTCACCAGACCAGCTCTGCACTGGCATGGGGACACCAGGGAGAAGGGCTTGAGTTTGGCACTTGGGTGTAGATGAGACCACGCTGGAATATTTGCCAAGACACAGCATGCACAAACACAGGGATGCAGCCCCCAAAAGAAAAGCCTAAGAGGGCACAGGAAAAGTTCCTGAAAATAATCTGCCCTCAGAAAAAATCTCCTGGAAAGCAGGAGCTGTTTCCCAGGCAGCATCCCCTGGAGCCAGCAGCTGGGATTTCCTCTGTCCACTGGCGCCAGAGGATCTCAGCTGCTTTCTGCAAGGTCTGCTTCTTGCAGGAGGCAGATAAACCATCCCAAGCAGCTGCAGTTTTGGAACTGAAAGCATTTCCCCTTCCTGTTGGCTGCTGTGAGCTACCCCGCAGGCAGGATTTGCTGCAAACCACACACAGCAGCTCTCAGTGCAGCAGGACTGGAATCCCCTGACAGGCTCTGGTGACTTGGGGGGTGAAGCAGGAAAGCTGAGCCCCAGCTGCAGCAAACCCTGCTCCACTGACCACCCTCAGCCAGCAGGCAGGGAGCTGCAGGGCAATTAAAATCCAGACTCTTGGATACTCAGCATGGATACTCATTGTCATCCTGGTATTGTCTGCTGGGAGCCTGAATTCCCTGGTAATTAACCTCATTGTCCATGCTCAAATTGAGCCCTGCTTGATGGGCACTCACCCAATTGCCAGTGCTCCCAGCAGAGCACAGTCCCACCTGCCCAAACCCCATCCCAAACCCGGGGCTGCAGCTCCAGGTCCCAGCCCTTGGTGTTACCATTGTGATCCCAAGGCTCCAGACATCTGACTTCACGTTGTAGCCCTTCTGGTTCAGCTCAGGGTTTATTCTTTCTGGCTGTAACAGCAAAATGGGAGATGTTACCACTCCTGCTTTCCCAGTGCAAGCCCCACAGAGCACATCTCTGGCTCCAGAAGCCAGGCTGGGTGGATTTCCCTGGCTCATGTCCCCAGAGAGGCAGGGTCTGAGGTTGAATCCAGTTCTGATGAAAGCCACATCTGCTCCACACAACTCACATCAACTCTGCCTCTTTGCAGGGGAGTGAATCTTGCATGATCCCTCCCCCAGGAGCACACACTTCCCACATGGATGCCACAGATGGCAAAGGGAAATTCAGACTGACTTGAGGATGAAACTAAACAATCCTGCCAAGAAAAGCCTCAGCACTTTCTATCCAACAAGGAGCAGTGCCACAACCAGTTCTGTGTCCTTCTGCAGGTGGAAGGGGCAGAGGGAGAGTCACTGTGGGATTAACACAGAGCTGGGCTTACAGGGAGGCTCTGCTGAGTCAGGGAGAGCAGAGCACTCCTGAGTGGCTTTTATCTCAGGCTGGAGGTGGAACAGACTCATTCCTGAGCAGGGCTGAGGCTGCACAGGGCTTGCACTTACAGCCATGTAGGGTTTGCAGCCAGCATCCATGGTCTTGGCTACAGAGTCCACCAAGTAACCACTGATCCCAAAGTCACACATCTTCACGTGCCCTTCCTTGTTGATCAGCACGTTGGAAGGCTTCACGTCTAAGAGGAAATGCAAGAGGGAAAATTTGGGTGTTTGCAGCGGTATTGAAGAGTCTGAGACAAAACTGGCAATTCCCTGCAGGCCTGGGAGGGACCAGGCAGGCCCCAACACAGGGGAAGGGAGACAAAGCCCCACCAGTCTTATTGCAATAAAGTTATTCACAGGACAACCAAGTCCTTAGGGAGAACAAGTCCCCTCTCCAAAGCAGGCAGGTCAAAAGGTTGAAATAAAATGTTGAGGAGTTTATCCCCAGCTCTTTAGGAGAGATTTAAGCCTTAAAAGCACAGCTCTGCCAAATCTTCAGGAGAGTTTGTCTCATGCACATCCTGGTCTGTCCACAACTACACAAGGGATTTTACCAGGGTGCAGAGCAAGACCTAGGTGTTACAATTCCCATCTGGGATTTTTTAAGGTCTCCTCCAGCCCTCACTTTACTAAAACTACCCAGCCAGGAGGATTTGGGGATTTTATCCCCAAGAGCTGCCTTCAAGGCACTTCTGTACTCCAAGAGGGACAGAGATGCTCAAAAAAAATACAGGTGGTGAGGAATTCTGTTGTTACATTCAACCCTTCATCTGGAAAGGAGGAAGATAATCACACCCTGCAGAAAGGGAAGCATCTCAGGAACAAGCATCTAGATCTGTCCACCACAGTCCTGAGCACCAACAGATTCCACTTCAGGCATCCCACAGGGACACAGCACACCTGGAAAGGTGCCCTCCCCTAGCCTGGATCTCCAGCCACACTCCACTAACCCCACCCAGCACTTACCTCTGTGGATTACAGACAGTTTACTGTGCAGGTGCTCCAGAGCTCGTACAATCTGGGGATAAAAGAGTGGAAAAGCAGCCATCAGTCACAGGCAGCAGCAGCCTCTCACTGCAAACACACCACAGCCCCCAGCAGCCTCAGGAGATGCACAAACCCATCAAAGGACCCAAGAGCCACTCACAGACACAGCCATTTTCCCCAAAATGTCTTCAGGGATGGTTTTCTTCTTCTCCAGTACTTTCTTGTAGAATTTATCTAGGGAAGTGTCCATGAGTTCCATGCAGATCCACACGTCACCCTGCGGACGGAGAGAAAGCAGCTGAGAGGGAATTCCCTGGAAACCCAGGAGAGAAAAAGGGCTAGGCTGAAGAGCACAGAGAGGTGCTTTGGGGACAGTTTGGTGCAATCCCACAGCCCCAGGTGGCCCCAGGCACCCAGCAGGTCAGTACCTCACGGAACAGGGCTCCGTAGAAGGTGACTGTGTAGAAGCAGTCCACTGTCCTCATGGAGATGTCCAGGTCCATCAGCAACCTCTTCTGCTCCTGAGTGTTCACAGTGGCTCGAATCCTCTGAGACAAACATGAAACAACAAGAGTTTGGTGTAGGTGGGGTAACCAGATATCAGATATTCAAACAGTAGAAGATATTAGTAGATATTCAAACATTTGTTCTGGGTTGGCTAACTGGCCAACCTGCATGGTTAAAGGCAAGCAAAGCAAAAAGGCATGACTATAACTTTTGATTGAGCTCCTTGAATCCCCCAGACTGACTCAGGACCTGCAGTCCTGGGGCCAGGGTGTTTTATCCTTCTTTTGCAGCCAGCAGCACCCAAGAGGAGACGCCCAAATTGCCTCTGCCAGACAGAACCTCAACGAATGCCAAACCCTTGGCACGCTCTGCAGAGGGTGCAGGGCCAGGCCAGCAGCCTGCACAGGCACTCTGCCATGCCAGCCTTGCACTGCAGGCACCAATCCTGGATTGCCAGGCCTGTTATCAACCCCAGCGTGCCCAGCCAGTATCAGCACAGACCCTGCACTGGCCAAACCACACCAAGAACACCAGAGGCTGCCAAACGCAGATAAACCCATCCTCGTTTTGCCACAACCAGTGGAGCTCAGCAGTTCCTCTGCTCCCTTGGGGCTGTCCCTCATGGTCCCCACTCCACCCAGGTGTCCCAGCCCAGCCAGGTGTCCCAGCCCAGCCAGGTGTGCTCACCTTCACGGCCATGATGGTGCCGCTCTGCGCGTGCCGCACTTTCTCCACCACGCCATAGGCCCCACGGCCCAGCTCTGAAATGCTCACCAGGTCATCAGCTTCCACCTCGAAGTTCTTTAGGGAGAGAGGACACAATGGCATCAGGGAGAAGCAGGTTTATCAGCAAGGAGATCAGCAACACTGTCAGCTCGCTGGTGCAGAGCGTTTCGAACAACGGACGACTCCAGAGGCAGCATGATGGGGGTATTTTTGGCTCTGCTGAATCACAGCCCAAACCCTCTCACCCCACACTCACCAGGGTTCATTTAATTCCCCCTCTGCAGCTGGAGATCAGGACTTTGATCCTGTAAGCCCAAGGGCACCAAAGGTTGGTGCCTCTCTGCCTGTGGGGGATTACCCACCAAGGGTATTTCTGCAGTTGCTGAACTATCTGCAGGATTTTAACAGCTCCTGTGCCAACATGGGCAGCAGTCAGGAGCCTCCACCAAGCTCCAAACACCTTTGTGCAGCCATGGATCCCTCACCTCTCCCCACATCCCAAAAATCATCAGTCACAAAAACCTCTCTGTGTGTCTAACACCTCTCTTAGATGGGGTGCACACAGCAACTGCATTTCTAAGTGAGTTCAACAGGTTTTACCCACTTTCAGTACCTTCTCCTACCACCAAAAAGCTGCCAGCAAGGTAAAACCTGAGTTAACATTAAGAAAACAACTACCTAAGCTGTGAAAAAGCCATGGCCAGGGCTCACCCTGACACTGCAGGGAGCCAGCGAGCTCCTGCACCAGCCACAAACAAGTTTCCCTAAAGCCACGTTCCCCTGTAATTGCTGCCTCTGCTGGGCAGGGCACCAACCCAGTGACACACAGGCTATTTTTGGATGCTGCATTCATGGCTCCTAATAAGTCACAGCCTCCTTTATCCAGCCAGCCTTTATCCAGCCTCCAGCTCTCTCCTCCGGTCTCAGGGAACAAAAATAATACCAGGATGCCAAAGTGCCCCAGTGGCCACAAAGGCAGCGAGGGTGGGAAAGGAGCTCGGCACAGCTCCGGATACGGAGCTACGCCCTGAGCAGGGAGAGAGGAAACGGCCTCTGGCTGGGACATGTGGCTGCCAGACTCTGGCCAGCACTGTCCCCTCAGCACTGTCCCCTCAGCACAGGCAGCAGCCAGCGGGTCTGCCCGACCTTCCTGCCAGCCCTGGCTGCAGCCAGATGTGGCTGTGGATGGCAGCCAGATGTGGCGCGCAGGGAGGGCTGAGCTCAGCCTGAGCTGTGCCCTGCCCAGCACAGGAAGGTTCTGGCCCTTTCCTGGGCAGGACGTGGATCCTGAAGTGAGGAGAGCACGGGCAGCAGGCAGAGGAGCAGTGCAGGGGCCTCCAGGAAGGATCTGGTGGTGCTTTTTGCACACGTGTTGTGCAGTTGTTTCTGGTTATTGTGTTTTTCCTTTCCTGGCATTTGCCCCGAGGCTCCCAGCACGCTCCAGGAACCAGCGCTGCCCTGCCCAGCAACAAGAGGTGATGGAGGCACCCACGGAGCCCTGCCAGCACAATGGGATGCATGGCATGGCCTGTGCACATCCTAGGGACCCGAGGTCACCTCCCACCTCCGCTCCTGAAGCTGCACTCCTGCCCCAGCCCTCCTCTCCACCATGTCACTCCAAAATACCCAGACCAGACCCTTCCTGCAAACACTGGAGCAAGCAGGGAAGTGACTCTGGAGAGTTCTCCCTAGGCTGCAGCACTGTCCCCTTGCACACACAGTGCCCAGGCTGTCACAGAGAGCATCTCTCCCAGAGCTCCAGCTACACACAACACCAGAAAACAGCACAGGCAGCAGGATTGCTCCCTGGACCCAGCCAAAGCTTCCTCTCCTCAACCCTAATCCTTGCACTGAGGCCAAGGGATCCAGATCCCATCAGCCAAGCCACCTCCCAGCCTGGAAGGGTCTGGATATAGGGCTGATCCAATGCAGGGTATTTTTAGCTCGTTTGCAAACAGCTTCTGCAGCCTCAAGAGAGTCCATACAAGAGAATGAAATAAAGAGGGACAGTGGCTATTTCCAGCAGTGCTTTTCATCAGGTCACCAGGAAAGACTTTGGAGAGCCAGAGAGAAACTTTGTGCCCAGCTTCTCCTGGGCCTCAAGCAGCACCACAGGCAGGATAAAGGGACTTTGTTAGGGGCAGTCTGAGAGCTTGGTGAGGCCACCCTCATTTAGGGCAGATGGGTTGGATCATCCTAGAATGGTTTAGATTGAAAGCTGTACCCCATGAGGCTGCTCTCCTGATCTGACAGGTTGCAAAGCACAATCCACAGAGCCCTCCATGCCCAGGGAAAACCAAACTGGAAGGAAGCAAAAAAAGAAACCCCATTGACACGTACTTTATCTCCAATGGTAATGAAGGCCCTGGAGTCCAAGTTCCTGGGAGGCCTGCAAGAAATGAGACAGAGTCAGGAGAAAGCCCAGCTTCATTCACCCTCTTGGCCAGAGCCAGGTTTCACATTCCTTTTGAGCACACTCAGCTGCTGCTTCCCCACTGTGCCTCACTGTAGGTTCCAACCAGCCCCCTCCAAACACCCACAAATGCTTTAAATGGTGCCAGTAACGCCTCAGCCCACACCCACAGGGCACAGAGAGAACCCAGGGAATCAGCCAGGTGAGACATGCACCACACTACCAGGCTGTGAAACCATTCCTGCTGGGGAGAGGAGCCTGAGGAGCTGAGAGGAGACGTTTCTGTGGCAGAGCAGCTCGGCTGTCGTGTTTTGACAGGCAGGTGTTGTAGCAGCACAGCCACGTAGCCCGAAACGCACGCGAGGGAACAACAGGTAATTCCTCCCCTGTGAGTCATTTGTGTACACTCTGCTGCCTGTTCCAGGCAGCCAGAGCAGGCAGCACTTTGGTGTCACCCTTTGCACAACACCAGGCAGGTGAAAGTTGGTGCTTTATGGCTTTTTTTCCTTATTGCTGCCCACTTCCCATTCTGGGCAGTACGGTGCTTTTAGAGGCACCACGAGTGCTCTGCCCCTTGTGCCTCACTGCTGGGCTCTCCCCATCCCCTGGGAGCTCCTAAAGAGCACAGATTGCCCAACTGGTTTAGTCTCAATTCCCATCAGAGCAGCCTCCAGCTTCAAGGAAGTACTTTGGGCTCTGAGCAAAAGCCTTGCACTCTGCAAATATTTGCACTGCAGCTTGAAAAGCAGGGAGAGAAGGAGCAGTGGGCAGCTTGCACCGGCCTCTGGGCATGCAAAGCCCTGCAGACTCCAGCATGAGGCCTTCTCCAGGGGAAACTCAAACCCTGGCAGGAGCAGAGGCAGATGTGCCCGTGGGGGAAGGAGGAGGCTGTCACAGGCAGGGCAGGGCAGGGCTGTGAGAGCTCCCCTGCCTCCCCCTTTCTACCTGGGGGTTTGCAGCAGTGATATTTCCCTTTTGGGGCCTTCACTGCTCTCCTGGAGTTCTCTAGAAGAGGTTTCTGGGGCAAACAAGGCTCCGCAGTGGTGATGCAGCCCAAAGTGTTTTGGAAGAGCACCATGGAAGTGGAATTTTAGCAGTCTGCTCTTTGTCAAACCAAGCACAGCTACCCTGGGCTCTCCCCCACGGCATAACAAGCATCTCAAAGCAAACAGGGCAGGGAGAAATTCCAGTGCCCTGAGATACTGCTGGGCACTGGCCACAAACAGCACACAGTTCAAGATGTCTGTGTCCTCCTTATAGCAGGGCAAGGAGCTGCAAACACCTCAAACTAAACCTGATACTCAGGTCGTGTAAAACACACCCCAACTTTGTGCCTCTGGTTTCTGTTGCGGTCCAGCTACCACCACTTCTCTTCCCCTGCATTAAAATTCTTCCCTCAGGCAGATTCCCTCTCTCTACCACATCTTTGCCCTTTGGCATTGGCACAGCCATGGCAGAAACACTGGGGAGAGCTCCCCAGAGGATTCTGAGTCTTTGCCTTTGGGACATTTCCTATCAAACAGGCACCTCCCAGAGCAACACATGCTGTGCACGTTTCTGCACACACGTGTGCAATTCCTCCTCATCATCCAGCTTCACAGAAAATAACAACTATGCTGATTTTGGGAACCCTTCACAGGCCATTCCCCCTGAGGAAGTGCCAAATGCAGCTCTGGAGAAGAAGCTCTAAGCAGCAGAGATCCTTACGTGGTGTTGGCCACGGGTGGTTTGATGGGGACACATGTTATCCTCAGGTCCCGTTTCTTCTTGCCTTTCACTGCAAGAGAAGATGCACACATGAGGTGAGCAAATGGATTTTTGTTTCTTTTCCTTCAAGCACCCTTTTCCCAGCAGCCACTAGGCAGGAATGCACGGCTTGGACCCCTCACCATGGTCAGCAAAATACAAAGAAGATCACAGCGACCACTTGCCCAGAATTTTAGGTAAAAGCCAAAGCACAACTGGGTCTCAATCACACTGCTGAGCACTGCTCTGTAGAAATAGCCAAGGGTGCACCAACAGACCATTTTCCAGGTCTTGAAGCCAAGCACTGTACCCCAAAATTGCTCTTTATCTTTCATGGCCATTAACAGTCCCCTCTCTTTGGGGTTTAAACCCTTTCTGGGGTGAAAGCTGCAATTTCTGCTGGGCACTTACCTGGTTTGTGTGGCTCCAAGGATCCTTTGGAATCTGAAAGAGAAAAACGAGACAGCAGCTCAGCCTCCATGTGCAGCCAGAGCAGAGAGCAGCCCTGTGCCCCTCATGGCTCATGGACCAGCAGAGCTCCAGGAGAGGGAGGCAGCTGGGCTTTGGGAGCACAGCCAGGCCTGGCCCCATCCCCGTTTCTCCAGCCACAAGAGGTCCCCACGCCATTAGTGATGTGCAGGGCTCCCAAAAAACATTCCCAGTCCAGAGGGCCCCAGCCCCAGCCTGGCCTTCCTGGCAAGAGCCAGAGCTGGATCTGCCATGGAGAGCAATGACCATGAGACATCCAGCAAAAATCCAACAAAAGCGCTCCAAAATCCAGCAAAAGGAAGGAGTTGGTCCCAGCAGGAGAGGGGACACCCCATTCATAACAAATGGAAAATAGGGCAAAACCAGACATGAGCTCACTGTCAGCCAGCAGTGAACCTCTCACAAATCTGGGGCTGAGGCACCAGGACAAGGCACCAGGTAAGAGGATGCTCCTGTCTCCCTCCTTTAAATAGCCCTGAGATAACAGCACCCACTGCTGCAGAGGGAAACAGGGCTCAGGCAGGGCCAGAAACCTGCAGGTGAAGAAAATTCCATCCCTGGGAAAACAAACTGACCCCAAGGGGCTGAAAGTGCAGCAGCTTGGAGAGCATGGAGGGCCTGATCCCCCCAGGAGAAACAAGGGGGCAGCTGCACTGTGCAGCCAAAGCTGCTGTGGCTGCACAGAGCTGGAGGATCCATTGCAAAGCAGGAATACCAAGGTGTGCTCCAGGCTCAGCGTGGCCTTGGACAGCCTTCCAGAGCAGCTCTCACCTGCCTGGCTGCTGGGAGCAGGCGTGTGGACAAAGTCCAGCACTCCAAAGGCTGCCAGGGAAGGGAGGAGCTGCAATTTCAGCAGGAGACAGCACCGTGCAGCAGCTCCTGCAGCTGCAGCAGGACAGAAAGGAGGCACATGGCCAGCGTGTCCCCAGCTCTGACAGCCCCCAGCCCTGTGCCCTGCCAGCTCCAGGACAAAACAGGGACTCACTTCTCCTGCCCTGACCTTCCCCAAATGCAAACCTCACTGAGGTTGTGGGTCTGCAGCACACTGCAAAGGTCCCACCTGCAGGACCAGCAGCATCCCTCCCTGCTGAGGGAATCAGCACAGATCAGCCCACACCCCCACCTTATCTGCCACTTTTCCTGCATCAGAGCTGAGCCAAAGGCTCCAAGACCAGCACAGTTTCCATGATGTGAACTTCCAGCTCAGTGAAAGCAGCACAGGAGCCACTCCACCCCAAACCCATCCCGCTGGGATGGAAAGCACCTGACCGTGTCAGAGCAGTCACAAGTTCCAATCTGTGAGCCTGCAGAGTTTCCCTTCCCCACTGCCCACCCAGCAGGGCTGGAAGGGGCACTATGAATAGCCCCACACACCCACGGATGGCACTTGGCAAAACACCCAGTGGAGCAACGACGGGAGCAAACACACAACGGAGCCAGAGGAACGATCCTGTCCGTGGGTTCAGCAGTGCCTCCCTTCCCACTCCCAGCCTCCTGCTACTCAGTGTGGGAGGCCAAGAACAGAATCTACAAACTGGGGTCCCCTGAGTCCTTCTGCAAGCTGGGGAGTTGCTGTGGGCACTCAGGGGATGGATTTTGCCCTGTGCTGAGCATTTCTCCCCCAGGACCTGCTCCAAAACTCAGTTTGGTCTCTGCTCCACACACAGCCCCCCCTCCTCAAGCAGTTACCAGCCAGACCTGTACACGCAGCCCTGCAATCCCCCCATGCTGGCTGGGATCCTGCTCCATCTGTTTGCTCTCCCTCTCCCCAATTGCCATAGTAACCCCGCGGAGCCGGCACAAAGCGCCTTCTGTGCCACCAGCAGCTCCCCTGGCACCGTGGCCGTGACTCACAGGGTCCACAGGCACCCAAGCCAGCCTCTGCAGGGTGGCCTGAGCCCTTCCTCAGCCCTTCTGGGCTTGGAGGGAGCTGGGAGCACCCAGGGTGGGGTTGGGAATCACAGGGTGCCTTGTCCAGCAGAGCCCAAGCTTGCAGGCAGGATTTGCAGCATGGGATATCAGGGCAGCAAGGGACACAGAGATTCCCTGTTCCAAACCTCCTGCTCTGTACAGGAGAGTCTTTTGATGTGCCCTGGCCATGAACTCTGCTGTCACAGGCACCCTGTACTCCCAAACTTCCACCCTTGACTTCCCAGAGGTGGAATCAGCAACCATCCCTTTCCCAGCCTGTTCCGCTTAGCCCCAAAAGGCATTTCCTAGCTCCAACATGAAAAGGCACTGATTAAAGCAGAGGTATTATACCATCTCTCCCAGACTCTGCCTGGGCCACCTGAGAAGAGCAGAAAACCCAGCTCAGGAGATTCTTGCAAGAATAAAATCACCCAGGATGCTGCCCTGCAGCCAGGGAGCTGAGACAGAGGTTGGATTCACTTGTTACAGCTCTCCTAAAATCTGACATGAAATTTCCAGCTCCCAAAGGCTGGCCTGAGCTACTCCTTGCTGCAAGCTTCTCCCACTGCTTGTGCCTCTCCCCAGGGAGCACCCATGCCCCATTCAGGGTGAATGAGAATGCAGGAAAAACCAGGGAAGGGAATAAAAAAAGGCCAAAAAGAGAGAAGCAGCAAGGCAGTGGGATGGGCATGACATGACCCTGCAACTCAAGCCCTTCAGCCCCCGCAGGCAGCTGCTGTCAGCTCCTTCCCACTGGAGAGTCCCTGGCACTGCCTCTCCCAGCCCTGAGACTCAGCACAATCCCTCCCGAGAGGGTCCCTGCAGGAGGAACTGCCAGAATGTGCACAACTGCTTCTGTCACCTGAAAACCCTGGAAATGCTCCAGTTTCCCAGGGCACTGGGCTCCTGCAAGAGGGGTGTCTGCAAGCATAAGTTCCCCTCAAGAAATCCCTCTGCAAAGGCCAAAAGGCAGCAGCAGGACAAGGCGATTTGGGGACATGTTCTGGTTATCTCTGCCAGCCCCGAGCCCACGGGGTGGCAGGGCACCATTCTGGGCACAGGAAAGGGCTGCCAGCCACAGACACACACACAGCACCGTGCCCTGCACCCAGGCAGGGGAAAATTAGCTGACAGAAGTTCCTGGTGCGGATGAAATTGCAACCCACGTGATGCTGCAGGCACGTAACTGCATCCTTTATGCTAAGAAAGGAACCATTTCCTCCTAAAGAGAAAAAAAAAAAAAAAAAAAAGCCGATAAGAGATTCTTTCTCATGCTATAACCACCACCAGTTAAGAACCACCAGACATTTCCTGGAACTGCCTAATTCAACACCGGAATCCTCATTTTTGCCACCACCAACTTCAGCCCTACTGAGCTGCACCTCTCCACGGGAGGTTTTTCCTTCCCACTCTGCTGGCGTGGGCGGAGAGAAACGAACAGGACAATCTAAAGAACTGCAAATAAAACTATTTGCCTGAGTCGACCTTTGAAATTAAACCTCACCACTGCCTCTCCAGGGCTCTGGTTGTAGCCCCAGGTGAAGTCCTGGGCACGGGAGGCTGCTCTGAGAGCTGTGCTGCTTTGTTAGTGCTGGGGGAAATGTTTTGGATGCATCTCAGTTCTCCTGGATCCAAGGAGGAGAGTCAGATGCCATGGATAGGGCAGAAGGCTGGAGGGTGGAGCCCAGCCTTGCTGCAAATAAAGAGCTGGAACAAAAAAGCATGTAGGAAAGAAAAAAAGAAGAAAGGAAATAAATTGGAGGCAGGGTGCAGAACAGAAAGAGGGGAATTTGGGTGCTTGGTCATGAGAGCCAGCTCCTCACAGGCACACTTTGTGCTGTTTTCCACTGCTGGGAGTGGAACAAGCTATCCATGGAAGTGGAAAAAGGGCTCTCAAGCTGCTGAGAGCCATCACTCATCAGCCGCCGAGGTCCCGCTGCAGAGGGGCTCCCGCGGGTCAGCGCGCTCCGCACTTCTGCAAAACCGCCGGCGAGCAGCAGGAAAGAACCACGCTGCACAAAAAGCCCCTTGCAGCCCCAAAGCAGCCTCTCAGCCTGTGCTGAATCACAGCTGCTGACTGCTGGGGCCGTGGGCACCCACCTTGCCCGTGCAACAGGCGGGGGACAGCCACCAAGAGCTGCTGGAAAACCCTGCGTCCCAGGAATGCAATTCAACCCCAGAGCCAGAAGCCAGCTTCACTCTCTGCATATTTTCCTTCAGACATGCTGGATTTGATTTTTTTTTTTCTTTTTTTAAACAATTAAGACGCCAGAGTTTTAACCCCACGAAACATGCAACTTTTTCCAGCGCTTTAAAAACAGATCCCCAGCTGCAAAGAGAGACCCCCTGCCCAAGCCAGGAGAAACAAAACCGCGTGGATTGAGCCCAGAAAAGTTACACAGCCCCTTTTAGCAGCAAAACCAGCCCTTTGCTCTCCCCCACCACGTGTTTTGGAAATTGCAACATCTACCTTGCTTCTTGTCCATGGTTTCCCAGAAATGAAGAGCAGCGCCTGCACGCCTGGCACAAGAGAGGGATGGGGGCGGACTGGAGGAGGGAGGGGAAAAAATTCCCGCAGGATCCAGCGCACGGCACTTCTTGCAAGCACCGCTGATTCCTTTCAGTGGGAATGCATGGCCCCAAGCACCCGCTGGCTTCACAGAGCCCTGTGTCCCCAAATCCCGGGGGTCCCCAAGGCTGGGAGCAGCAGCCAAGGCAAGCAGGGGGGATTGGGGAAGGTAGAGCCGCGTTCCCTCATCGGCAGCTGCCGAGGTTGGCCGGACTCGGCTCCGATTACCCTTGAAAGCTCAACAGTTGTAAAAACTGCAGCAGAGAAATAGCAGGTGACGTCAACAGGAAACTGGTGGGGAGCCAAACTCCAGCTCCGGGAGCTGCCGAAGTGCTGGATTGCTGAAGCGCATCCCGGTGGGACACGCTCTCTTCCCACAAATTCAACCATTCCGAGCCAGCCTGCAGGCCCAGGCTTCCCACCGGAGTGACCCTTGCTCCAGGACAGCCCTGGCACCAAGCAGCAGAGCCCAGGCTCGATGGTTTGGGCACCAAAAGGGGTGCTGGGATGGAAAGAGGTCACGTTTCGTTGTGCTGCAGGCGACACGGTAATTGCTCTGCCACTAACAACTATTACCACAACAAATAGTAGAAATATTGTTCCATGACAATGCCAGCTCGGAGCTCAGCAGCTATTCCAGGGTGACAGCCGAGACGGCATCTCTGGTAGCAAAATATAAATTGCTGCATGCGCTTGGCTGGGAAATAGCAAGGGGGAGTGGGAAAATAAAAGCATTTATTTCTCTGCAAGCACGTGCAAGAGAAGCCACGGCCAAGAATTGCTGCTCTTCCCCTTTCCCTCAAAGCCACTCCAGAAGCCAGCCCCGATGTTCCTGATCAAAGCCAGGCTCAGCTCTGACAGGCTGCAGTTTTGTTTTCGATTTCCCTGTCAGCCTGGAGGGGAGATACTGTACCAGATTCTTTACCTTAAACTAATTATAGAAAATCTACCAGTGCTTTGCTGCTGAGCTCTCTCCCAACTCCAGGCTGTGCCTGGACCAGGCACATTTGCAGGCTGAAAAGTCAGAGGTCAAGGTAAACGCACATACCAACATAATGAGTGGCTCTAATTTTAAATAGTGTTTATGTAAGCCCCAGAAGGACTGCGGAAGGTATTTTCTCAGGCTCATTTCCACTCCCAGGGTATAGTTTCAGGCACAGATCATCAGCACATAAAGGATGCTGACGCAGGAGCTGCTCCTGCAGATGGCACTGAGAGCCACCAGCACCCGTCCCCAGCGCTCCTGGGGAGAGCAGTGCTCTCAGATGCTGCCCTCCCTTCACTCACTCCATTAACAGCTAATTCCCTCTCACCCAGACACACAGACACTCCAAGGATCTTCACAGACACCCACAGAGTCAGAGCTGCTCTGGAGCAGAAAGTCCCTAACCCAGCAGGTGGGATGGGAAAGAAAATTTCCTTTGAATTTGTCCCGTTGGGTTTCAGCGCCCGAGGACCAGGGGTGGTGTAAAGCTGAGCTTCCTGACATCTCAAAAGCATCTTAAAAAGTAAACAAACAAGGGGGGGAAAAAGGGAAGAAATAAAAACAAACCCAACCATCCTTTCAAGTCTCACTGCTGGGAACTCTTTGAAAGGTTTGCTGGTGCAGTTGGAATAACCAGGCGTGCACCGTTTGCCAGAAATTATCCAGTGCTTTATAGGGCACAGGTAATCAATCCCAGGGGAACAAAAAGCATCAGGTGATGTTAACAAAGCCTCCCCATGAGGGATGTCACCCCAGAACAGGTGAGGGATGCTGGGAGAGCAAACCCTGGGAAGAATTCAGGTACTTGCACAGGGCAGAGCCAGGGACAAGGATGGCTCCCATCCCTCCCAGCAGCCTCCTGCCAGGGGGCTGGCTTGAATAAGGGGAAGAGCACACCCACAAAAACAGCAATGAGCTCAAATAGTGCCCTGCCAACGCTGGGCCCCTCTCCCCACCCTTCCCCTGTGGACACACAGCCCCTCCCGAGGCCACTGCAGTTAAGGCTGGGTCACCATCACAGCCAGGGAGTGGAGAAGGGGACGAGCTGCTGTGCCATGAGCAGCAGAAGTGTCCCATTTGGGGCTGGAAAGGAGCTTTTTACAGGGATAGACCACAGAATTAATTAATTCACCTGTCCCCTAAATATAGCTGCAGCCTAACCACAGGGACAGTCTGATTTTCATGGAAAACTTCATTCCCTGTGCTCAGAGACAAGCCCATGCACCAGCTGGCTGTCCCATCCCAGCACACACTGCCTGATGAGCCCAAATCTCCCAGGAATGGCAGCAGCTTCCCTGGTCAAGGCTGCAGTGCAGGCACTGCCCCAGTCTGGGATGTGCTCACTGTTCCACACATCCCATGGGAATGCCTTATGTGCCCCAGCCATGCATGGGACACACAGGCTGAAAACTCTGCTTGAAAACAGAGCCTTTGAACTGAATCCAGGAGGAAAGGGAACAGTGTTATCCTTCTCATCCCCATGGATGGGGCATGGCATTGTCCATGAGGTTGGGGACAATCAGAGGATGGCAGGATGTCACAGCCATGGTGCCACCAGCTCCGGATGAGACTGAGCAAGGGAGCAGGATGTGACATCCCGGTGTCCAGTGAGGCATTTGGGGATGGGCACCTCAGCCAGAGTGTCTGACAAGCAGAGGCACTGGCACAGGCACCTCCGGGGCTCAGAGCCACGCCCGGGCTCAGTGCAGCAGCCAGATAACGCTGGGGCAGCCCCGGGAGGATGTCACCGCCCAGCCACATTCCTGAGGTATTTTTAGGTTACCTGCACAACCTCGAGGGCTGGAAAAATCCTTTGATTTTGTCCCCATGTGTCAGCCTGCCCCATGACAATGGAGCACAAGGGCTCCACTCCCACATGTGACCAGAGGCCAGACTCCCCTCAGGAAGCTGAGAAGCCCCGTCTGGCTGACACTGACATGGTGACATTACAGGACACAACAGGTACATGGCCAGAGTTGTGGTGCTTTGCACCAGAGCTTGTGCAAAACCCCTGTGCAAAGGTGGGGACAGTCACAGGGGCAGCTATTCAGAGCAGGCACTGAGCTGGGGTGCAGGCAGAGCACCTGGACACTGCCTCTTCTCCATCCTTCACTTCAATTGGATTTTCCGCCAAAAAAATGGACACTGCCTCCTTTGCATCCCTTGCTCCAACTGGATTTTCTCCCCAAAATCACCTGCACCTCTTCAAAGCTCAGCTTTGTCCTGAGACAAAGATCCCAACCCTGATGCCCTGGAATTGTCAGGGGAAGGCAAAGGAGAGAATGCTTAGAAAAAAGCAAAGAACACACTAGAAGAAAAAAATGCCAGATGCATTATCCATCACCTGTGCCCCTCTCTTGCCAGCAGGTACCAGCATCACCCCTTCCTTTGATTTCTCACTCCGTAGCCTAAGCCATGAAAAAATAAAATCTGCTTGGAATTGATGTGACTGGCTAGTGACAGTTTCCTGATGGGAGAGAAAACTCAAACTGTCCTTGGAATAGATCAGCCTGACAGGAGGCACAGTGGGAAAGGGAATAGTTTGACTTTGTAATTGTCAGCAGTAACTCAACTCCAGCATCAATAGACACTTTTTCTACCCAAACTGGCATCATTCAAGTACTTCCAGGTGTCCTTGTAAACTTATCAAGAGAGCAAAATATTCCCCTCTCTGCTTTAAAAAAAAAAAAAAAATTAGGAAAAAAAAAAGATTTCTACCATCCTCCCTCCCATTTGCTTTGGGCAGGGATAAAGTGATGTCATCTCTGCAAATGATGTAAGAGAGCAGACAACTGCTATGAAAATGGAATTTATGGAGGTGAAAAAAAACCCCTTCATGTTCCCAGCTGCCTGCTCTGGGAGAGAGGCAGAAACAAGAGACTGACCCAGGTGCTTCCCTGGCCCTCACACTTCAGGCAGGACTTTCAAGAGCAGCATCTGCCCTGGGGAGCAGCCAAGCAGCTGCTCAGAGGGTTCACAGTGACATTATTCCCCAGCCTGAGCTCCCTCAGAGGAAAACTCCTGACCTCCAGCACTGAGCCAGCACCACATCTCTGAGGTGCAGGAGCAGAGAAAACCTTGGATTGTTCCCTTTGGAGCAGGGTGCTGTTCCAGCAGCTCACAGAAAGCAGCAGGAGAGTGCTGCACTAAAATTCCATGCATTTCCTGCTGTCCCACACCAAATTTTTGCTCTTTTTGGTACATATTCAGTGCCAACCCTCTTCCCTGCCTCTCCCATCCATCCCTCCTTATGGCCCACACCATGTACCTCCTGCCCTCCCTCCCACAGGACAGACTGCATCCACACTCCCAGAACCAACCCCACATCCAGCTGGTCCATGAGAAATCACCTGCGAACATTTCTCTCCTTTGTTCCATCACACTCCCTGCTGCAAAACTTTAAAAATTCCCCCCATTTAAAGGCTGGAGCACCAGCACACTGCCAGCCCCACTGCCCAGCATCACCCTGGCTCTTATCAAAGGTTGGACCAGGTCTGTGTTGGGAAAACACTTATTTTCTGCTGGATTTGCCCAGGGCAGGGCAGCTTTGATTCATGACGAGGAAAAGCTCCCCAGGAAACGTGCCCACAGCTCAGCGATGTTTTGCCACCACAGCTGCTCCTCTGGGTGGGATTGACCTTCTTTCCCCTCCTTCTGTCACTCTCTCACATCCACCCCATCACACTGCACTTTTTCCAGGGTTCAGGGAAGTGAGAGCTGCAGGTTTTTCCTGGTAAAGGCAGATTAGAGAGCTGCCTCTCCATCCCAGGAAGGCAGAGGTCTCCACAGCCGGGCTGGTCCCAGCGCATCCGGCTCACATCCTAGCCCAAGAGCTCACAGTGACTCAGCCCAGCCCAGCCTGCAGCTGTCTCGGGGCACACTCAGGGCTTCCAAGAACCATTTCCATCTGAGTAAGAGCAAATCAATTTTTGAGAATCCCCTTTTCTCTCAGAAGAGCGAGCCTCACATCTGTGTTCTGGGGAAAGGAGCGGCGCTCTCTCTGCAGGGTGATGGGTGGAGAGGTGTTGCAGATATCTTTTGTGAAAGATCTTTTCTTTAAGATTTTTCCTGCTGAAGCTGAGAAGTTTCAGCAACAAATGTAAATAATTATTATCTGCTGCTGTGGAATGCAACAGGTCCACCTGTGATGGGCCCCTCTTAGATGTTTATAATTAATGGCCAATCAAGACAGAGCTATCTCGGACAGAGTCCGAGAGAGCTGCCTTTTTTAATCATTCTTTTCTATTCTATTCTTAGCTTAGCC